ACAAGGATTGCTCAAGTCTACCACTCTCACTCTTACAAACCCCTCCTAGAAGGAAAAAAAAAAGAGGAAAAAAGAAAGAAAAAGAGAATCTGTTATCACTGAGCATATGCAACTGCTAAACATCCTATTCAGTACAACTTCAGCCTGTTCTGAGAACTGAGTTTCACAGCTTCTTTATGCAGTATCTGTCTGTCAGATATTGCCCACTACATTACCATAGTCTATATAATATACTCCCACCAAAAAAATTATATATATGATTTTGTATATGTATATATATATATATATATATACACTTTTGTATATATACACTTTTTTGGACATATTTTTTATTACCTGCTGTGAAAAAAAAAAAAAGTTCAAAGCTTTTATTTTCAGTATGTTTGTGTATGTCCTATGCTCCCTGTATTAATGGCACTAAGGAAATTTGAATAATTTCCTTAGTGCCATTAATACAGGGAGCATAGGACTCACTATGATCAATTTGTGCCTCCATTTTGATGTAATTTCTCTAATCTGACAAATATAAATAGTGTATTAAATTTAGATATTTCTAGAGCAACCATTACCTTAGCTCCTCAGTATGACATCAAGGAGCCAACAGGGTATACACAGAATATTTGGGCTCTCCGTACAATGAAAGGTGCCCCTAAATAAAATCCTCCAAATCTTTAATTTCTTTATCAATCAAATTCTCACAGCAGTGAAGGCATCAGCAGTATTGCTGTAACAATTAACCCATGGCCAGAGGCAGTGGAGCAAAGGCTACTTCTCTCATTCCTTTATTGAATTTTTCTACCTTTTGGTTTCTGGTTTTGTCCAGCTGCCCCTTCCTCCTTTCTGTTCCCTCTGTGGCTGAGCTGTGCTCACACCAGCCCAACGCTGAGCAGGGTTGCACAACCAGCACCATCCCTTGCACCCCTTTGCTGACCAACTTATAACTGATCTGCACTTCTGCTGTTCCTTTATCACCACCAGCTACAGCGAGGTGGGGTCTTGAGGGCTATGATTTAGGCATATTAAATTATGTCAGGAAAATAATGATGTTGGCTCACTGGGAGGACACAGTTAATGTTTATATTAAAAGTTCTTGATGTTTTAAACACCTCAAATTGAAACAACCTCTGATCTTGTCACTAAGTGTCATGTAAACAAGACAGGAACACTGTATATCTATATCTTTATGGTTTCCTAGCTTAACCTCACATGGGTTTGGGTATTGCAGGGGGACCTCACCACTGTACATAAGAAAACGAGGCCTAAATGTGCTCATATCCAGAGGATTCACCACCTTATTAATGCATATATGTCATGCATAGATTATTAACAGCTTCATAACTAGAGAGGAACTTGCATTTCAATAAACATACTTTTACAAGTGCAAAGAAAAAAGTTTTGCATTAGGATGTTACTTACTTCATGTCTTTGTCCTGGGAGAATGCAACTAAAGAAACCACATTTAAAAATCAGACATTAGATATGCAAATATGTGTTCAGATCAGAGATACGAAAATTATTCAAATGATTAATTATTCATCATAAAAATGTCAATTAATAATTCTGAAGCATAATAGGCATCTTTCTAATGCATCTTTATTTTTCAAGCCTAAATACTGTTGAATCTGTGTTCAATTGCATTCTAACAAGTTTTTAAAAATTCAACAAAGTAAACAACCAACTATAAACAAAAGTGAGCCGTGAATTTTAATCGCTGCCAACTGAGCCAAGAAATGTGGCCGAACTTCAGCATCGATCCCAGAAGAGAAGGAAAATCATCTCCATCTCACAGTGTGGGACAGTGGATGAAGGATGCTTGTCCCTCACTTCTCTCTGTCCAGCAAGAAAATAAATTTTGGGACCTGTGGATGCTGTTCCCCTGCTGCAGACACACAGACAGACATTGTGAACGGCAGCTGAGCAGCTCTAGGCCGTCAGAAGTGGCTTTATAAATGACAAAATTAACAAAAACATATGAGGAGATTCGCTTTTAACGTTCAGGGACTCACACAAGATCAAATATTACAGTGATCTGATGGTTAGAAATGCCCAGGGATAGATAAATTAAAGCCAGACAATCTTTTCCCTTGCTTTTGGCTCGTATCCTATCCCTACATGGGTTTTCCGCAGAGGAACTCAAAAACTTTGGGAATGTTGATTCAAAAGGTTTCTTCCCAAATACCTCATCAGCGGGTGGGGGGAGATTGGTTCCCTGACCCTTTCTTCCTCTCCTCTCTGCCCTCTCCTCCATGTGGAAATTGGAAAAAAAATAAAGGCTTTGCTTTCTAAATCTTGGTTTATAGGGACACCTGTACTGAGCAAAAGTATCCAGCGGCATCTTGGGCCCACATGGGGCCTTCCCTGCTCACAAAAATTATTCCAGCCTGTCTTATCCTCTACTGCCACAGGTGACTGCAGAAAATAATCCCCCCAGCATCTTTTTCTGTTTGATTTGGGGGCTTTTTTGCAACCTCAGAATGCTTTCTCGAGGCAAGGACATCTTCTACACCCCAGAGAAAGGAGCATGGGAAGCAGCCAGAACCCACGGGGATCCCAAATCTTGCAGGAGCAGCTCCCTCTGCGGAGCAGGGCTGTGGGGAGGGAAGGATGCTCTCCCCAGGCTTGGCTGCAAGTGGGCACATCTCATCTGGATCCCCTACATGGGGATGTTTAATCCCTGATGTAGGGAGGGTTGCACACCATAGGGAAAATAGTCAAGAGTTCTGGCTATGAAAGACGTGAAGCTTTCAGAGCTGCTAAAGGGTATTTAGAGGTATTAAACCTCTGTCTTCACCAGCCTCTAAAATGTATTAGCCAAAATTCACCAGCCAGAACATCTTTGCTCCTATTCCCTCAGTTTTCCTCCTTCCACGTGGTGGGCAAGAAAACACAGTCCCCGTTACTCATCCTGCACCGGGGAAAAAGCAAACACACCAAAATAAATAAGGCAGTGAATCATCCCCTCAGCCCGTGGCACCACATCCCCATAAAGCCACCACGGCAGAAGGTCTCAGCAGAAGGCTCAGGTCCTGCAGGGCCTGTGCTCCAAAGCCCTCCTTGGTGGCCTCTCACCTCCCCTCTCCATCAGAGCTGGGTGCCTGTGGATCACAGGGAGAGCTCTCCTTTCCCATGGCAGCAGGATCTGACCTGGCTGCCCCTACAGATCCACACAGTGATGGGAACATGGGGTTATCTCCAAGGGGCTTATCTTCATCACAATAGGCTTTGGTGGAGCTGGAGGCAGGGCTGCTTCTCCTGTGGCTTTAACCAGGCAGGTCTGCACCAGGATCAGGCCACCCTCACCTCAGTTTGCAGCATTTCCATGCAGGAAAACCTGAGGAAAAGGGGATAAACCTGCACTCAGAGAATTGCCCTGAAACCATCTCCAAGCCACAGTGCTAGGAGCTACACACAAGGAAGGAGCTGGGGTTTGTGAGGATATTTTGGCTCTGCTTGCTCTTAAGCTGATGAGGTGAGGTGAATAGGATGTGCAAAAGTTTTAAAATAGAGCAGGGAATAGGATCTGCATGGGGATGCTGATGGAGCAGGGACAGGGATCCGGGCTGCCAGCACCACCCCAATAAAGGCAGGATCCATAGCCTGTCATTATTTCCATCTCCTAAAGAAGCTGCACACCCGTTATTAGTTCAGAGCCGGGCAGGAAATCATCGCCTGGATTAAGGTTAAATTCCATCTCAGAAGGGCTTAGCTGATTGCTAAATGTTTATGTCCAGTGTCCAAAAATTAAAAATAAAAATAAAAAAGAACAACAAACACTCCCAAACCTCACATTAAAATAGCATCTAATAACGTTGGGTGCTATGTCAGTCCTGCGAAGCTCCGAGCAGTTTTATCGCTCCGATGCAAACCCTGCTGAGGCACATCAGAGCTGGGGAAACTGTGAGATTGAGGGTTGAAAGAACAGCCAGCAAAATTATGAATAGGGATTATCTGACAATGCTGACATGTTTCTTAAAGCCCTTGAGCGTCATCACACGCTCTGAGGGTTTGTTTTTCAGCGTGGCTGCAGATAAATATATTTTATTGATACACCATCGACAGCACTCCTGCCTATTGCGAGTCAGGCTGCAGCCTCTCGTAATCTCCAGTTCATCCCCTCATTCTGTAATCTGGAAATGTGGGAACAATATGTAAGGAGTTTGTAAAGGGATTAATTTATTTTGAGAACTTGTTGGTTGGGTTTTAGGTTTTCTCCTTTTTCTCGTAGAAAATGTGGGTAAGTGGAAATTGAGCAAGTCAGTAATTAGCATTCACTTTTTTCTTTTCCTTTCTTTTTATCATATGCATCTAAATTCAGTTTAGCTCTTTAAGGAATTGCCAGACTGCCCTTGATTTATAGGCAGTGCCTTCTGGATCTGAGAGGATCTAATTCAAACTAATAATACTTGAATTTGATTTCAGGATATTTGTGCTGTGCTATATATTTCATTAAGATATCATCATTCTGTGTGTGTGTGTGTATGCGTGTGATATGCCTCTGCGTATCCAGGTACATTTAGGCATGGAGAAGTCATGCATCCTGCAGGAAAATCATGCTGGCATTTAGAAAATAGTGGCAAGAAAACTTTTAACAAAGCCACGATGACTCGTAGCAGGGAACAAAAATAGAAATAGAAATAAAAATAATAAATATAAATAATAATTAATAAGATTAGGGCAGCCTAGCTGGGGATTGCAGCGGCAGCAGACGGCCAGAGCCTGCCTGTCCCTCCCCACCCCGCCTGCAGCTCGGGGCTGAGGAGGGGACACCCGGAGGTGCCACTTGGCAGCCCGGGAGGACATTTGGATGCCCCTACCCGGAGCCCCCCACCCCGGTGCGCTGCCTCCCCCGCATCTCACAGGGTCACCCACTCCCGTCTCCCGTCTAACTACGAGATGACAAAAAAAAAAAATCCCCAAAAAATCCCAGGCAGATCTCGGTGGCTCCGATGAGCTGCAAAGACCCTGCCGGGGGGGGTGAGGGGGTCCCTTCCTTGCTTGGCGATGCTGATCCGCCAGGAAGGTGCTCCCAGGACCATTTTGGAGCGCGATCCCATCGCTATCGCTCGCCCTCCACTTCTTGCTTTAGGCACACGTTCAGTGCACGGTTCAAGAGCAGTTTATCTGAGCTTAATGTAAGTAAAAGTGCAGTGTGGGATCAGCGTTGCCATTTGTTTCGGTTTTCTTCGGGAGGGGGAGAAGGAAAAATAAAGCAATAAAGTGCTGGAATAGGCTGAACTCTTGTCAGAGCGGGGAAATTGTTTGGCAGCTCTTTGGGCAGCCCCACGTTTACCTCGGGAAGGGACCGTGCGAGTGGGCAAGCCGCGAAGTTTCTCTTTGCAGTGAGATTATTTCCAGCTCCTTCAGGAGGAAGGAGCGGCTGTGGGCTGTGCTGGAGCTGGGCAGGAGCGGCTGCAGCTCAGCCGGATCTGCCCCTTTGCAGCCCAGCGCCTTCCTCAGCATCCCCGGCTCGCTCAGCCCGTACTCACTTCGATATCACTTCTCGATTACGTGCGGTGCAAACCGGCTTTTTGATTAACAAACCGGCAGAGCGTTGGTTAAGAACACTTAAACTTCAAAAAAAAAAGAAAAAGCTATCCCCCTGGGAAGTGGGCTCTGAATTGGTTAATAATGTGCAGTACTTGCTAAATTGCTGACTTCCAGATGTGGAAAATATCTTTCTTGTTTAGAACCTACGTAACCTGATTGGATTACGACAGAAGCGTCACATTGGAAGGCTTTTGAGTGATGATTTAATTAACCATACAGTAGAAAGCTGTATTTGCCAGGAAACCCCTTCCATATTTGCATAACCAATCCCTTCAGTGCAAAGGTGGAGTCTGGGCTTCTTTTTTTTTTTTTTCTTTCTCTTCTTTTTTTTTTTTTCTATATGTAATTTTATTTTAATTTTAATACTTGAAAAGAGTGAAAAACTTGTAACCTCCATGAAGTTCAGCCCCACGCGTTACTCTTCCACGCTGCCTCTCTCTGCTCATCCAGCTACTTCCAAGAAAAAGCAGAGCCAGGAAAAGAGCCCATCTCACCCCTGATCCATATCTGTGAACAAAACAGATAGACTGTAAGATCTCAGCACGTTCGGTTGATTTTTTTTTTCCCATCAGATTTAGCTGACTATTCAAATAACCTGGACGAGTGCTGAAATGAAAGGGGGGGGGGGGGGGGAGAAAAAAAAAAAAAAAGCCCCAAAAGAAACGCGTGAAGGATAAAAATAAAACCGCACCAAAACAAGCCAGGAGCTTATTGGCAGTACCCGAACAGAGTTTAGTTTCTAGGCTTTATGTTAGGGTAAGTTTTGCCCAGCGCAGCGTGCGGGGCAAGGGGGGAGCCGGCCGGGGGGGCTGAGCCAGGGGATGGGAGAAGCGGCGGGGATCCATCCTGGGGCAGGGATCCATCCTGGGGCAGGGATCCAGCCTGGGGCAGGGATCCATCCTGGGGCAGGGATCCATCCTGGGGCAGGGATCCAGCCTGGGGCAGGGGATCCATCCTGGGGCAGGGATCTAGCCTGGGGCAGGGGATCCATCCTGGGGCAGGGGATCCCGCCTGGGGCAGGGGATCCATCCTGGGGCAGGGGATCCAGGCGGGCAGGGGATCCAGCCTGGGGCAGGGGATGCAGCCTGGGGCAGGGGATGCACCCTGGGGCAGGGATCTAGCCTGGGGCAGGGGATCCGGAGGGATCCAGGCGGGCAGGGGGCGGGGGATGCCGCCCGGGGGAGGGAAGGGATGCAGCGGGGGGACGCGGGGATGCGCCCGGGGCACGGAGGGGGTGAGCTGGGATGCGGCCCGGGGGAAGCAGGGAGGGATGCGGGCTGGCTGCAGGGGCAGGGGGTCCGCAGCCCCCCGGGGGGGTTGGGATGCTGCGGCGGGGCGCGCTGAGTTTCCGCGGGGCGCGGAGCGGAGCGGCGGGGCGGGGGGCGGGCGCGGGGCGGGGGGCGGGCGGGAGGAGGTGGAATTGCATTTCTGCCGCTAAAGCGTTCGCGGAGACTTCAAGGTATAATCTATCCCAGATCCTTTCCCAGAGAGAAACTTGGCGATCACGTTTCCACATGATGCTCACGTTTGGTGCTCTCCAATTATCCCTCCCCACAAAGATAGGTGGCGTGTGTTGCAGGGTCTCTCCTCTCGCTCGTACAGAAAAGAAAAAGAAAAAAATGTCATTAGAAGAGGCGTAACACGTCAGTCCGTCCCCAGGTTTGTGTTTCCTGGAGTGGCAGAAAGAGATCAGTCCTAACCTGCCCAGCAGGAATAACGGTCCTTCCGACAACTCTTTGCAAGGCTTTTTACAATTTCTCCAGGAGCTGCATCTCCCTTCACCTTTTCTCCTCCACTTCGCGGCTTCTTCATGCTTTTTCTTCTCACCATTTCTGGCCAAAACTACAAACAAGACTTCGCAGGTAGGTTCGGAATTTAATTCCATTTTCTCTCTTTTTTTTTTTTTTCCTCTTCTCTTCTCTCTTTTTTTTCCTCACACCATCTCACGCATCAGCGGGGTTATTTCATTTCGAGAGTATTTTAATTTTTCTGGATTGTTTATACTTGGGGCGAAAAAAAATTTTTTTTTTTTTTTAATTTTTTCAATCTTTTGAACCGAAACCTGAAGTCACTCCAGCACCGCTCCAGGAAGGGATGAGCAGTTTCGGGGTGCTCGGGGCTGTGCCACCACCACCCCTACTCCCCTTACCTGTCAGCCAGGTACGGGAGGTGCCTTTTAAAACGCAGCAGCAAAAGTTTTAGTGTTAGGAAAGGACTTCGTCCTCCTAAAAAAAAAAAAAAAAAAAACACCAAAAAAAAAAAACACCCGAAACATCCCCCCACCCACCTCCTGCTCTTTTTATTTCAGGTTTTACATCTGAGCTCTGAAAGTTTGCAGGTACCTGTTAATGCTTTGCATGCCCTGAGCATGCAGAGCCAGCCCGGCCGGGCACCGCTGGAGCCCCAACCCCGGGCAGGGCTCCCCGGCAAAGGATGTGTTTCCCCAAACAGAAAGTTTTGCTGTTTTGTCTGCATAGTTGGTTTCATTTCTATATTTTATTTTGTGAAGCTGGGTGAAGTAACACCTTAGCTTCTGGGAGCCTAAAGCAAGAAGTGAAAGTACAGACTGGAACTTAAAAGTCGTTTACCAAAAGGAAAAAAAAATTAAAATTAATACATATTTTTAAAAGCTTGCCTGTCCTCTGGGAAGAAAAGTGTTCTCGATATTTGCAGGCTTAAAATTATTGACAACTTTTTACGGGAGGCTGGAGAGCAGGGAAGGGAGTGAAATGCATTTAAAACAATTCACCATTGGTGGTTTTGCATGAAAACGCCAATTGCCGAGGCAGGCTGAGGGTCCGGGCTCGCCTCGGTGCCCGTCCTCCCTCCCCGCTGCTCTCCTCTCCTGGCAGATCTGCCGCGGTGGTGATGGCACCATTGCCCACCCCAGCCTGGGGAAGAACTGGCAAATACTGAACTTTCTAGCACATTTCTCAGCCTCTTCTTTGCTCAGCCACATTCATCCACATCCTCAGAGCCACCCATTCCCTCTGCCCAGGAGGAATCCCAGGCAGGAGAGTGTGAGTAAACACGCTGACCCTATGCACACTCTCTCAATCTCCCCATCCTCTTACCTGCTTGGAGATTTATTATTTTTTATTTATAGCCAGGCAGGTTTTATAACAGTAGACGCCTGAAGAGAGAGTTCAGGCAGAATAAAAAGACCCAACAGCAGCACACTTCACTGCTCAGTCCTGGTGTGAAGCTCCAGCAAAGTAAAAAGACACGAGGGAGTGGAAAGAGGAAAAGGGGAAAAAGATCTCACTCTGCTTAAAATACATACATATATATATATTTATATGTTGAAATTGTTGAGTCAAGTAATAATTTTTTAGGTTTTATGCAAAACTCCCAGTGCAGGAGAAGACAATAGATGGGAAGGCGAGGGGGCATCCTGCTCAGGAGAGCAAGGGTTAATTGCCCTTGTTTTACAGTTTGCATCTGTTACATCTTTTATAGCCCCCTGTTTAAACTAATCCTCGAGTCAAAGCATCTTTAAAGCTACAGCATCTTCTTCGAGATGGACTGAGTTTCAGGAGCGTTCTTGCAGCAAACCAAACGCTCCAGCCCCTCTCTCCCTTTGACAGATAGATCCTCCTGCCCAGCCCGGGCGCTCAGGCACACACAGTAGGTCTAAAAGTTTACAAGTTGCTTTTATTTTATTATTTTTTTTCCTTAAAAGCAAAACAAAAAAAACCACCCCACCAAAACCTAACTGGAAGGTTGAAAACTCTGACAGCGGTAGTTTTGATTTCTGTTTCTTTTCTGGGAAGGAAAAAAAAAAAAAAGACACTCCGAAGCTTTGTTTAACTAAGGGGCAGGGGAAACCCTGAATATTGTCAAACTGACTAAAAAGGTGACAGAGGTTTATAATTACACTCCTCGTTGTTAGGGGGAGGGGGAGGTTTCCGTGCTGAGCTTTACCCCAAAAGGACAGGGGAGAGCCATGTTTCCCTCTCCTCTTATCACTTTGCTGGAGAGCACTTCGGGGGGGAAAAAATGAAGGGTAGGATTTCGCGTGAAAAGAAGTTCTAGTGTCAAATTAAAGTACTTTTAGGAGGAAATGGTCCGCCTAGCATTGAGTCAAACAGCCTACTGTAAAAGCTGTGCATTCCCTCATACGGTCATGAGTTATGACTCATTTGAGATGTAATTCTTGTCTCTCTCTCTCTCTCTCTCTCTCTCTCTGATCTGCTTTGCTGGTGCAACACACACACACGCAGGGAGGGAGACACACGCACACGCGCTCACACACACACACACACAGAGAGAGAGAGAGAGAGAGAGAGAGAGAGGGAGCAGAAATAAATAAATAAATAAATATATAAATAAATAAAGAAGAAATCTGCCCGGCTGGGGAGAGAGAGGGGGAGCCCGCTCCGACCGCGTCCCACCTCCCCCGGCACGGCCAAGCTCGCCGTGTGCGTGGATGGGTTCTTTTTCGGGTGCAAACTGGGGTCCCCGTTGGCGCCCTGCGTTTAAATGGGACATCCCGATGCCCACATTGTCGCTGTGTTTGGTCGTTACATAGAGCCTGCGTGCTGCCGCTGCCGCTGCCGCTGCTGCTGAATCAGGGAGTCGAGCCCATGCGAACTGCCATCTGATCCACTCTTATCAATGAAGCAGCAGATCATGGCGGATGGCCCCAGGTGTAAGAGGCGAAAACAAGCCAACCCCCGGAGGAAAAACGGTAAGACGGCCCCCCGGGAAAACTTTTCCGGCCGGTTCCGCCGCGGAGAGGAGAGGGGGGGGGGAAAAAGGAAAAAGGCGGCGGCAGGACGGGGAGCGGGACGGGGAGGGGGGCACGGCAGCCCGGCGCTGGCCGCCCCCCGCCCGCCTCCCTGCGCGGGGTCCCGCGGAGCGCCGGCGGTGCGGGGGGACGCGGGGAGGGGAGCGCCCCGCCGCCTCCTCCGCCGCGCCCCAAAGTTTGTTGTGCTGCCCCACTCTGCCCCCCGCTGTCCCCCGTTGCCCCCCGTTGCCCCCCGCTGCCCCCCGGTGCCCCCCGGTGTCCCCCGGTGCCCCCCGGTGTCCCCCGGTTCGCCCCCGGTGTCCCCCGGCCCGGCAGCGCTCCCCGGTTCGCTCCGCCGCTGGCAGCGCGGCGAGACGCGGAGCGGCGCGGAACGAGCGGGGCGGGCGGCCCTGGGAAAAAAAAACCCGGCAGCGTGAGAACCCCGAGAAGGGCTGGCACCGAGTTAGCGACTCTCTCTCTCTTTCTTTCTTTCTTCTTTTTTTTTTTTTTTACTTATTGTTAGGGACTCGAAAATGAAACTTCCTCCTCCCTGATAATTAATAATACTAATGAGCTCGGTGGCCGATTGTCCGTCGCTGCCCTCTCCCCCGGTCCCCGCCGGCCGCGCAGGGCCGGGGCGCAGTGGGACGCGGTGTTCTGGGCTGATTTCACATTTGGCAGCTCTCGCTGGTGCGGTGGGTCTCTCTTTCTCCGTCTCTCCCCGTCCCTCCCTTAGTTTCTTCCTTTCTCTCCCGGCTGATAGCCGCTTCCCCGCCGCCAGCTTCCCCCTCCGCGCCCGCAGCCCCTCCACGGCCATCCCGGCCCCACTTCCAACAACTTTCCTCTGGAGGAGCAGGAGGAAGGGAGATATTTGTGAGAACCTGAACCCATGCGCTTCTAGCTCAGCTACTTCATTTCAGTGCAGAGGTGGAGGTGGAGGGGGGCTGAAGGAGGAGGGGGGCACACACAACAACAACAACAACAACAAAAAACACAAAGACAAGAGAATGTTGATTAGAAACAAATGATCCTGCCCCCCCTCCCCTTGCCTCTCTCTAGGTTGCGAGTGTGAGAGTGTGTGTGTGCGTGTGAGTGTCTTTTTCTTGTTGTGGTGGAGGCGTCGAGCCATATGGGGGAGTGATAGAGGAATTTTAGTCAGAAACTGTTCGTTATGTTACACTGGCTTTTCCCTTTGTGTTGTCTTTGATCTATTTGCTTGGCTTAGTATTACAAAAAAAAAAAAAGAAAAAAAAAAACAAAACTAAAATAATATATTCCGAGCAGCTTCCCAAGGATCCGTTTCTTGTTATCTTTTTTTAAAGTCTCTCCCCCCTCCACCACCACCCTTTACTCTTGTGTCTGTCATTATTTAAGGTGGTCCTCACAGAGGAGACCTCCCCTTCCCCTCATCTCTGGGTAATTTAGTAGACATTAAAATTACACGTAATGTTTCCCTCTCCTCTCTTGTGTTTCCTCTGTTCTTTTTATTAAATGTTGGTTATTGATTTTCTAAAATCAATGTCTGTTGTGGGGCTTTTTTCCCCTTACAAGTATCTAAAGCACGTTGCTGATCAACTGGATAACAAAAGCTTTGTGTCAAGTAGCCTTTTTTCTTATGTTAAACAGTCATTTTTGAGAGAAAAAGAGAATGAGATTTAAAGAAACGCATCCAGAAGTGCTCTTTTGCAGTAAAGAATATTCTGAGTGTTTGAGGGGGTTTTATTCTTCTTCCTCAGCCTCCTTGCTTTTCCAGGCAAGATTATTAGTTTAGCGTGTTAAACCCATCACATGCTCTCTGATGAGGGATGCATCTACGTGTTTAATATTTTCTCAACATGATTTGAGTACTAAAAAAAAACCCCACCACCACCACCCTTACCCTCCCCCCCAAAAAAAAAAAAAAAAAAAAAATCCTGGATGTCTCTGTTTGCCCAGGACACCAGGACCGTACCCTGGTAGTGCAGCCAAGTCTTTGGGAGCACGTATGGAGCGGGGTGGCAGATTCTGGTTGTTCCCATGCAAAAAGGTGTTTTCAGGGAGCTGCACTAACTTGGAAAAGCCACCACACTTGGGAGACGAAAGTTTAATTGCGATTTTTAAGGTAACCACTTAAAGATCCTGCAAACTTCAAGTGTGTGTGCGCTGCTGATGCGAAGGGCTGAGTTCTCCCTTCAGTGTCTTGTTCTGGCCAAGACACGGGGTGTGTGTGGGGGGGAAGGAAATAATTCTCCACTTTCTGTCTGTCCCCTCTTTCCTCTTTGTGCTCCCTAATTTGTTTCTTTCATTCATTTCTGAGTGAGAAATGCCCTGGTTCTGAGGAGCAGGTAGAGCGAGGGTGGGTTTGTTTCTTCTTTTTTTTTTTTTTTTTTTTTTTCATTTTCTCTTTCTCGACAAGCACGTATCCAATGCCTTTCCCGTTGGGAATTGCCTAGGATTTATCTGGACTGAGTAGATTTTTCTTCTTTCCTGGAATCGTGGAAAAGATGTTACTTCTGAGCTTGTGTCTTTGCTGATAACACCAGAAACGGTGATGCTTATCGAACTCGGACAGAAATTCCTTAGAAACGCAGCAGAACCAAAATAAAATTTAGAAGCCACTAAAAAGAAAATAAAAATAGATGGTCCTGAAGGAAGCGAGAGGAGTGTTAGTGAATCCCAGACACATTTCAGACAGGGACAAAACAGAATAATCCAACTAATGCCTGAGTGGGCTCCACGCCTGTGTGCGTGTATCTGCGTGTGTGCGGGGATGGGCAAGGCTCGGGATGAGATACCGGGGCTGGATAAAATTACAGCGGAGCTAAATAGGGTAGAAAGGAAGCAGGCTCGGGATTTTCCAAGATAACGGGGTTGATGAGAGCTGCTGGAGTGAAGGAGAGGTGTACGGGGTGGGGAGGATTGGGTAAATCAATGAGGGGTGAGCCCCCCGGGCAGGATGGGAAGGAGAGGACCCCAAAAGCGGAGCGGGGGGGGCGGGAGGTGCGGGAGAGGCAGCGCAGGAATGCGGCGGAGCTCCGGGAAGTTCGGTCAGATGATTCCCAGCGCCTGACTCACTTCGCGGCACTTTCACTCGGGAGAGAAGTGGCGGCAGAAGAGGAGGAGGAGGAGGAGGAGGAGGAAGAAGAGGAGGAGGAGGAGAGGGCAGTGAGCCCCTTTCCGCACGGGCGCCCCGCGGAGGCGGGGGATGCTCCGGCGGCGCGGAGCGGTGCGGAGCGGGGCCCGGGAGCAGCGCTGTCCGGCCGGCAGCCCTGCCCTGCCATGCCCGAGGAACTGCCTCTCTCCTCTCTCCGTGTTGTAGTGGTTTGGCGTTTGTTGGCTTTTTTTTTTTTTTTTTTTTTTTTTTCCTTCCCATCCTTTCCGCTCCCCTCCTCGAAAATCCAAAGTGAAATTAAAATCCCCGCGAACGGGGGGGGGGGAGGGAGGGGGGAAAGTTGTATCTAATTTACCCCAAAGTTTCAGTAAACAGCTCTCTTTGATTCCTTTGCCACCTCGCTTCCAGTTGTAAAGAAAAGGGAGAAAGTTCAATGCTTTCAGAGCGTCTGATCCAAGACCACAGACCAAACAAGAAGAGACGATTAGACTTGCTCAGAGCCTTTCCCAAAAAGCTACCCACCCACCCTCCTTCCAGGGATGCTGGGGAAGGGGGAAAAACCTCCTTCATTCCTCACTTGAAAAAGAGGGAGAAAAAAAAAACAAAAAAAAAAGGAAAAAATAGGCAAGCCTGCCTGCTGCCTTTAGTGAGTGGGAAGTGAGTCTTGTCTTCCCTGCCTGGAGAAGTTTGGAGGCAGGCAGGCTGAGGCTGGGGGTGAGGAGGCAGCTGCTCCCGGTGCAGCCCAGGTGGCAGCGGGCACAGCGGGCACCCGGAGCGCTCCCGGGGCCGGGCAGCTCCCCAGGGCCCGGAATCCGTTGCGAGGAGATTACTCCGGGATTTGGCTCACTGGGTAGCGAGACAAATGTACTGCCACCACCTCCAGAAAAGCACCTGGAGATAGGTATTAAAAATTCATGCCATAAATGCGAGTGGCCAGGGCGTAATGATTATCCAGGCAGATTTTCTCGGTGCAGATTCATGTCCAGGCTGAGCTGTGACATGGAGCAGGGGAGGTTGTTTTCTGTGTCAAGTCGGATCTATTTATTTTCTTCCGAGTTCCAAAAAACCCAGAGAATTTGGAGATTAGTGGCTGATTTACTGTTTGCCATTTGTGACCATTCGGTAATTACTGGTTTTGCTTATTGCACATGCTTCGCAAGGAAAGTTTTGGGGGAATTTCTAATTGCTGCGAGAAAATGCATTTGATGGCTTGGAAAAGGCGTATTTGAAAAGGGAAGGAAAAGTGATAAGGAAACCATTACAAGTTAATTATCGATAATTATACATAGCCAACTGCCCAAGGTAGGGAAAATATATGGGAGACTGAGATGCAAGCTCTCAGGACAGGCTGGTAATATTCCCCAAGAAAAATGTGTGTCTCCCTTTAGAGTGGAAAGAAGGATGTTGATTCTTTTACAGCAGCCCCACATTCATTCCAAGAAATAGGAAATTCTTCGCCTCACAACAGTTTTTGGCATCTGCATTATCCCAGTGCTTTTAAGGTGCATTTTCTCCTCTGTGAAAGGGAACTCTTTGTCCTTTTTTTCTGCAAGACCATGGCTTCCCAAGGTAGACACTATTTTGTGCCTGTCACACAGAAAGGGAGTGCAGGTTTGCAGTGCTCACAGACAATTGATTGTCTGCCCTAATGTGTTTCATTTACATGTTTATAACGTCAATAGTGCTGGGGTGTCCACTGTACCATTCATTCCAGCATTCCCACAAGGGTGCAATTGTCTGAATGGCCAAGTCAGACACCTTTTTGATTGCTCTTTAGTTGTCTTTTTAGAGTATAGAGAAAAAGGAGAGAAATCTGTGATGCAGAAACACTAGTTGAAAATATTTCAGAATTAAACCTCACCGTTAAAGC